GGGAGAACCACCCCGATGTGGGGCAGGGAGAGCCCCAAGGGGGTGGAGGAGGCTGTCTCGGTCTTTTCTTGCAGGGAACCATGAGAAAATACTGGAGACATTAAATGTTTTCTAAGCAAGACCACACACACAACAGTAAGCCAGCTGCCTTCTCCCAGATACAACCAAACGGCTCATCTAACTTGTAGTTTCCGAAAGTAAAAATATTAATTTTATTTACTTTTTTAAATAACTGCTACACACCCAGCATGGGGCTCGAACTCAGGACCCCGAGATCAAGAGTTGCAAGCTCCTCCCACTGAGGTGGCCAGGAGCCCCCCAACTTGACTTGTAAACCAGTGCTGTTTTTTTTTCAAAAGCCATGTGTGTGCTCGACTGGTTCTCAGACACCACCTGCAGTTTTGGAGTTTGAAAATGAGGGTTTTCTTTTCTGTAGTTGTCTAATTGCAAACATTTCCATGACTTCCCTTGTCAGTTTTGTGCTCAGTAATGGCAGCAAAAAACAGTGAACCAAGGAAGTGTATCCACCCCCATGAGGAGGGCACTGTAGGGTTGCACCCGTGTCCGGGGGCCTGGCAGCGTGGCACCTGCTGAATTGTGTCAAGTACATGTATTTTCTTCGAGTTTAAAGAATTGAAGGGCTGATCTGAAAACACTGACTGTAAATGCTTTTCAGCAGTTACTCTTCGTCTGTTCTGAGCTTTGGGGCCGCTGTCCTTCCTGGGGGTGGCCCTGAGAAGGAAACCCCTGGGGGCTCATCCTCGGGGCCCACTGCCTTCTTGTGTTGCCCCGACTTCACAGCTGCTGGGTCATCCCCCATCATGCCTGTCGCTCTGGTCCATGACACTGGGGTGGGCTCCGAAGCGCCCTGCAGGAGGGTCGGCCTGTTGTCAGCCACGGTGGCCTCTGATACGGTTCACATTGTCCTTTGCTTCTCTCTACACAGATGAGGATGTCAGAACTCTCAAGGGCTGTTACCACTAACTCATGAAAGTTTGTGCTCTTAAATCCGTAAGAGGGATTTTTCCTGCAAGGTCATGTTCCTCACTATACAGTTTGGTTCACTTGCTTTGCCTTTGCGGTCATAGCCAAGAAGTCATTGCCAAAGCCCATGTCCTGAGGATTTTCTCCTGTTTTTCTACTAAGCTTTTTAGGCTTAGCCTCAAATTCATTTTGAGTTATTTTTGTATATGGTGTAAAGTAAGGTTCCGGTTCCTTCCTCTACGTCTGGTTATTGTTTCCCGGCACCATTTATTGAGAAAATGGCCCTTTCCCCCACTGAATGGTCTTGATATCAGATCATAAGAACGGATGTTCAGGACCGTCTGTGGGCTCTGGGCTCTGTCACCCCACCTGTGTGCACGCCAGCACCACACTGTTTCAGTCTGTGGCTTTGAAGCATGTTTCGAAATCAGGGATTGAGTTTTTCAACTGTCCTTTTTTTTTTTTCTTAAGATTTTATTTATTTGAGAAAGACACCGAGAGAGGGAACACAAGCAGGGGGAGTGGGAGAGGGAGAAGCAGGCTTCCCGCTGAGCAGGGAGCCGGATGCGGGGCTCGATCCCAGGACTCTGGGATCATGACCTGAGCCGAAGGCAGCCGCTTAACGACTGAGCCACCCAGGCGCCCCTCAACTAACTTTGTTCTTTTAAAGATAGTTTTGGCTGTTTGGGGTTGAGATTCCATTTTAATTTTAGGATGGGTTTTCCTATTTCTGCAAACAGATGTTACTGGGATTTTGATACAGACTGAATTAGGTCATTTAAGGTAGTATTCACATTTTAAGATTAAGTTTTCCTATCTGTGAACACAGGGCTTCTATTCATTTATTTATATCTTTTAGTCAGCTGCATTCTGTAGTTTGTACAAGTATTTTGCCTTTTTGGCTTATTCCCACTGTTCTTCTTTTCAATACTCTTGTGTATGGAATTGTTGAATTTCCTTTCTGGATTGTTAGTGTAGGGAAACACACCTGGTGTTTGTCAGTGTCGTGTCCTGCAACATTGGGAACAGACTTTTGTGGACCCTGCTTTCTCCACACGCGATCCTGGCAACAGTTGTGTTTCTTCCTTTCCAATTTGGATGCCTTTCTCTCTTGTGCCTAATTGCTCTAGCTAGAACTTGCAGTGCGGTGCTGGAACAGGGAGCGCAGTGCGGAGCGCGTCCTCATCTCCTTCTGGATCTGAGGAGGAGTACGTCGGGTCTCGCGCCGCCCTGCACTGCCCGCAGGGCGCGCTGTGGGGTCGGCCTCGGTGGCCTCCATTGTGCCGCTGCTTTCCTGCTTTTCTTCCTTTGTGGAGTGTTTGTCATGAAGGGGGGTTGAATTCTGTCAGGTGCTGCTTTCTGCAACGGCCAGGTGGCCGTGGGGTTCCCTTCTTCCTTCTGTTAACGGATTGTATTGTTGGATGTTGAACCGTCCTCGTATTTCGGGAATGAACCCCACTTGGTGATGGTGTAGGATCCCTTTAATGTGCTGTTGAAGTGCATCTGCTGGTGTTTTCTTTTTTTTTTTTTTAAAGATTTTATTTATTTATTCATGAGAGACAGAGAGAGAGAGGCAGAGGGAAAAGCAGGCTCCCAAGGAGCAGGAAGCCCGATGCAGGACTGGATCCCAGGACCCTGAGATCATGACCTGAGCCGAAGGCAGACGCTTAACCATCTGAGCCACCCAGGCGCCCCTGCTGGTGTTTTCGTTGAGGATTTTCTGTGTTCGTGTTCATGATGGATCTTCGTGACTCTGGTCCCAGGGTGGTGCTGGCCACGGAGGCTCTGGGAACATGTGAGGACGACTGATCAGTTGGGTTTCTAGGAATGCGTCCATTTCACGAAGGTTGTCAATTTGTTGGAGTATGTTTCTCATCGTATTCTCCTGTCTTGTTCCTGCAGAGTTAGCAGTGTCCCCCCTTTCATACCTGATTTTAGGAATTTCAGTGTGTGGGGTTCTCTGTCCATCTAGCTAAAGACTCATCGATTTTGTTGATCTTTGTAAAGGACCGGTGTTGGGTTTACTGATTTTTCTTTTGCCTCTGCTCCAACCTTTTATGATTCTTCCCTTGAGCTAGCCCTGGGTTCAGTGTGCTCTTTGTCTAGTTCTGGAAGGTGTAAAGACTCAGGGTCTGGTTTGTCGCCCGTGTCCGAGCACCTCAGCATTGCTGGCACCGTGCCTGTGAGCTCTGGAACCCTGTGGTCACTGGTCCGTCCCAGAGTGTTCTCTCATTTCCCTTGTGATTTCCTGTTTGACGCAGTGGTTAAGATGCTAACTCCGACATTTGTGCATCCCCCACACATGCTCCTGCTGTGATCGGGAAGGAAAGCACGTGGGTATAACCCATCTCAGGTTAGTAAGAACTCGGATGGAGCATCCTTGGTCTCCTAACGACTTCCAGCTTAGGGTCTGGTCTGTTTGCGGTGGGGTCCAGGCTGGTGCATATCCTCGGAATGTACTTGAAAGGACAGACCCTGTGGAACCAAAGTGGCTCAGCTTTGTGACTTCTCTGTCCCTCCTCTCCTGCCTTACCCCGTTGACGTTTTCTTCCAGGTGACACGCTTGATTTCCGTCTCATTTCTGCTTGTGTATATCCCACGTCTATTTTCTCTGTGGAAACCACAGGGGTTAGTAACATTGGAAATGACTAAATTCTATTATGAATTTTTTCAACTGTCATATCCCATACAAACGCTCTCGTCAGCTCTGCCCCTCCCCCAGCCCGGTCACCAATCCCACTGGCAACCCCCTTGGACTGGGTGCCATCAGCAAAGGCTTGTGATGCTGTGTCGTGCATCTGTCTTCTGGAGTCTATAGATTGACCCTCCCGGCCATGCAGGTTGGCTGTGGATTCACGTTTACTGGAGAAGCATACAAACTTGCTCCGTCTGGACGGGCACCCCACAGCCATCAGGAACCCCTCAGCTCCGCCTCTGTGGGGAGGGTTGTTTTGGATGCAGAACAATTGAGCTGCCCTCTGGCCCGCACGCCATCTTCGCGGGGCCCCGCCGATGAGCTCGGGGACGTTGCCTACGTGTGATGGTCTTTGGATTTCTCACGATCTTCTCATGTGTCTCGGTGAGGGTCGGAGCCTCGCCTGCTTGCAGTTCAGTGAGCGTCCTGGATTTGTAAATTCACGTCTTCTGTCCAGTTGGGACGTTTCTGCTGGGGCTCCCATGTGGTGCCCACAGCTCCGTGGCCATTTACTGGTTCTTCCATCTGCTCAGATGCTGTTGACCCTTCCTGCAACTTCTTTACTTGGCTTGTATTTTTCAGCTCCAGCATTTCTCTTCTGGTTTCTTCCTGTAATATGTTTTTGTCTGTATTCCTTTAGTTCTTGGATCGTATTTAAGACTGTTTGGAAATCTTTCCTAAGTCCGGCCTCTGGGCTGCTCCTGGGATGGTTTTGTCACCTTTCCCTTGGTTAAGGCCATGTTTTCCTGCTGCCTTGTGAGAATTTGTGGAAAACAGGGCTCTGTGCTGGGGCTCCTCGTCAGCCGTGTATGTGGCTGCTCTCGAAGGCCTGCCTTTCCCATCTCCCCCCACTGCTCTGTCGTCGGTGTCCCCCCATAAGCTCCTGCCCCAAACTCCTGCACGGCTCTGTGCCCCCTGCAGCTTTCGTGAGCCATGCCCACCTTTCCTGCTTGAGATCCAAGTTAGGCAAAGCGGAGACCGGTCCTTGGTCAGCCCCAGCCTGTTGGGAAGTTGCAGACAAGCTGGCCTGCTGCTCATGACCACATTGGGGGTGGTGGCAAGTACAGACACCCCAGGACTGGTCCCACCAGCTTGAAGGTGGCTTGGTACTTATTTGGTTGTGGTCACCCTCTGTGCTCCAGAACTTCTGTAAGGTTGGTTCAGCCGGTTTCTGGTTCTTCTGTTTTCCTTACATCAGGCAGGCTCCTGTGCTCCCATCTCAAGTTTAAACCGACCTGCCTTTCCCTGGAAGGTCTAGTCCTGTGGGCTGTCCGCGCACCTGCACTCCACGCTCGACTTGGCCTCTTGTGCTCTTTTCCAGGGCCTGCGCACCTCTTCAGGCTTTCTGGCAAGTGCTTCAGCCTGGTGGAGTCCACGTGAGTGAGGGAAGGTGTTGGCGGGGGGTGGGGGCCAGGACCCCCCCGACGCATCTGTGCCCCCAGGTACAAGTACGAGTTCTGCCCGTTTCGCAACGTGACGCAGCATGAGCAGACCTTCCGCTGGAACGCCTATAGTGGGATCCTGGGGTGAGCCAGGGGTGTGCAGGCGGGCGGTCCCGGGCCCCTGGGCTGGTGCCCCCCCATCCCGCCTCACGTGCTGTTCTCCCTCAGCATCTGGAACGAGTGGGAAATCTCCAACAACACCTTCAGGGGCATGTGGATGAGGGACGGCGACTCCTGCCGCTCCCGGAGCCGGCAGAGCAAGGTGGGACCGTGGGGGAAGGGCCCGAGGATGCGGGGACCCAGCTTCCCCCAACCTGCCCACCAAGGCTTTCCCCACAGGTGGAGCTTACCTGTGGGAAAAGCAGCCGTCTGGCGCACGTGTCTGAGCCGAGCACCTGTGTCTATGCGCTGACGTTCGAGACGCCTCTTGTCTGCCACCCACACTCCTTGTTGGGTAGGACCCTGGGGCCAGCCCGGGGTGCAGGTGGGGGGCAGGGGAGCTCGGCTAAGTGGGCGTCTGTTGGATTGTAGTGTACCCGGCCCTGCCCCCTGCCCTGCAGCAGCGGTGGGACCAGCTGGAGCAGGACCTGGCTGATGAGCTCATCACCGCCCAGGTGAGGTAGGCGGTGAGGTACAGGGCGGGCATCCCCTTGCCCGGGCGTGGCGCAGCCACGAGCTGGCTCTTCCCTCTTCCTCCGTTGCCAGGGCTATGACAAGTGGCTCAGGGCGCTTTTTGAGGATGCCGGCTACCTAAAGACCCCAGAACAAAGTGAATCGGTGCTGGAAGGAGGTGCCAAAGACCCGGCCTTCCAGACCATAGAGAGCTGCCGTGAGGTAGGGACAGGGAAGGGTGCCTGGCCCCAAGCGGGGCCGCACGCCCTGCCCTCGGAACTCTTGTGTTGCAGGCACATAAAGAGCTGGCGAAGGAGCTCAGGAGACTGAAGAGCATGCTGACCCAGCACGGCATCCCCTACACTAGGCCTGCGGGTGAGTCGTGCCCCGTGCAGGGCCCCAGCCCACCTGGGGACCTGCTGCCTGCAGGCCAGGCCCTGTGCTGACCCCGGTGGCTCACTGTTCTGGCAGAGACTTCTAGCTCCGAGCACGTGGGCCCCAAGACACCCCCAGACGGGACAGCGGAGCCACTCCGAGGCGACCCAGGACTGCGTGGGAACACCTTGTGACCCGAGATTGGCAGGAAGGGGAGGCAGGTGGGGGCCACTTCTTCTGCCTCAGGGCCCCGTGGGCTCTCAGGCTCAGCTCAAAGAGGTGACAGAATAAAGATGCAAAGTTTTAATTCCTGTACTGATAAAAATAATTGCATGAATTCTGTAAACCATTGCATAAATGCTGTAGTGTAAAAAAATTTAAACAAGTGTTAACTTGAAACAATTCACTACAAGTAAATGATTATGCATTATAAATACTACCTTCTGGGTTAAGAAAGTTCCATTCCAGTAACATTCTCATCTAAATACTCAGAACAAACCTAGATCGAGGCTTCCATAAATTAATCCACATGAAGCATCCACACTGAGCCGAGGTCTCCTGCGACCCCAGTTAGACAAACAGCGGAGGCTGGACCGAGACCACGAGAGCCAAGAGGCAGAACGACAGCCAAACCGAGGACGGCGAGGCCCCGGGATGCCTGCGGGGCAGGGAAGGCTCCCTCGGAGGGCCTAGGCCACCAAGACACAGGTGGGGAGGACCCAACGAGCAGTCCCCTGGGGGCCCTAAGAGTTCCACTTGCGAGATTCTTGGGGGTCCTCGCAGCACACCTGGCCTCAGCGCACGTACCGGGGGGGGGGGGGGGGGGGGGGAGGTCGTCCCCACAGTGCCACAGCTCCAGTCTCACTAAGAACCGACCAGAGTAGCTTATAGACCTCAAGCTTAACTGTCCTTAATTGTTTATAATTTGAAAATGTCTAGGCTACTTATTGGTAATAAACATTGTCCTGTTTCCCAAAGAAGACCATAGGCCTGAAATGGGAAACAAGTGCATAAATATTAATAAAAATAATTTTAAACGGTGGTAACAGTAGCACAAAATATGTCATTTCTAAGAGCTAATCATCACTATCATTAAAAACAAAGTAGATTCACTAAAACCAACTCAATAGTCACCTTTAGTAGTGGACTAGCTGCAGAACGTCATGGATCCACCTTTAAACAGAGCTATCGGTGTGTCTTACGTTAAAAAAGGTTTTCAACCTCTTACTATAGTAAATATTTGGTTACTGATAAAAATTTTTACTGAGCCACTTTGCACTTTACAAAATGCTATTAAACGTCTTTGGCAAAGCCACGGGTGGGCCGAGACTTCCAGGCCAGAGGGCCAGCTACGGCTGCCGCACGGAGAACAAAGTCTGGGTCAACTACAGACATCCTTTGCTTCTCCCCAGATTTCTAGGGAAAATGACCCAATGCAGACCAGAGAAGATTCAAGTCCTCACCAAAACCACACCTGTTCTCAGGAGCATTTCTGCCACGGCCAGGCGCTCTCTGCAAGCCCGGGGTCACCGGGGTGGCTCTGGTAATCGCCAGGCTACCCTGCAGCCTGGAAGCCTCACCCCTGCAAGCTGGCATCCATCCGGCTGCAGGGAGCGGCCGTGGGCAAGCCTCTGGCCTCAGGCCGCCCAAGGGGGAGCCAGGACACCCTCCCAGCAGGCTCGCGAGGCTACAGAGGCTCAGGCACGGCTTTGTGAAGTTAATGTGAGAGCCTCCGCCATTGGGGCCCTGGGCCGCACTTCCCCTCAGAGGAACACACAAACCCAAGGGAAGGGCGCCCTCCGCCCCTTGTGCGAGGCTCAGGCACTTAGAAAAGCGGCCGCAGGTCACGGAGCACGATCGGGCTCAGCGCCACTGCATGGTCCTGGAATATAAAACTCCAATTAATGTGCGTGTGTACGCAATTAGGAGTCCCTTTCACAAAATTAAAAACTTCTGTGTCTTTCGGTATCACTGCTATAAATACTATTTGCACAATTTGAAAACTATAAAAAATCCTAGGCATTTCTCACTACTAGATAAACGCTCATTTCATAAGTACTAATTTCAGGATAAGAAATCTAAGACCTTTACCATACCATGAATTAACAATAAACTGATAGGAAATGGTGTAAGTTCACAGTTCACATACAAAGCTTCGCATTATCGCATATTAAAAAAACACGAACCTAAAAAGCAGCTTATACCAACTCAATGTCTAACGCCCCCGGTTTACAAAGTGCTTGGCAGGGTCACAGTGCGTCATTCCCGAGCCCGTGGGGCCGGCCGGGTGGGCTCTGGGGGTGCGCCCGTGAGGTTCGAGAGAAGCAGGCCGGAGCCCGGGGTGGGGGCGCCGGAGCAGTCACCATGGGAGGGGCTGGCCCTCGCAGTAGGGGCAAGGGGGCGCGCCCGCGGCGCACGGCTCACAGAGCACACGGTGCTGGCAAGGCTGGAGGACGGCGCCGCGGGCCCGCTCCCGGCACACAGCGCACTGCTTCGCTCGCAGCTGGAAGATCACCTGCAGGGCGAGACACGGGTGGTGGTGGGGTCGGGCAGCCTCCAGGAGAACCGAGGCCCCGGGAAAGCCACGGATGGGGCCGTCATGGGTCATCGGGGAATGTGGCCCCGGCTGCAGAGTCAGGGCCGAGGGACGCCCCCAGAATGAAGGTGGGGGGCGGGAGAGCCCTCATGAGACGCCAGGAGCCGAGCTGCCACACCGGCGTGGGAAGGGGCGGCCAAGCAGGTGCCACCTCAAAGGGCTAGGCCCTCCTAGAGGCCCCCAACCGACACACTGTGGCCAGCAGGCTTGAGGGTCTGGGCTGGTGGGGACCCTGACTCGGGACTCGGGCCTCCAGCCACAAGAGCAGCCAAAGCCTGGGGGACTATGCCTCAGCGGCCACTGGAGGAAAAGAGCGTGTGAGGGCCGTGGAACCTTCCAGATGCTCCAAGGTCTCACAACAGGCCCTGGTGTGGAAGGGATTTACAGCCGAGGGCAGCAAAGGTGAAGGGTGGAGGCAGGCAGACATCTACCCAGGGACCCCGGGGGGCGACCTCTGTGAGGTGCCGCTCCGGCTCCGACCCCGCGGGGCGGGAGGGGCGCACACCCTGTCTTCGGAGGGCAGAGCTGGCAGTGGGGACGGATGGGGTCTGGTGAGGAAGACCGGGGGGCCGTCCAGAGCCGGAACCAGGACTCACCCCATCCACGGCTTCCAAGTCCAGGCGCAGCTGACTTTGCAGGGAGTGCAGCTTGGGGAGAGGGACGGCGCCCAGGTCAGCACAGCGCTGCAGCCCCCGGCCCTCCAGCTCTTCCCGGAGCCGCCGGAACTGGGCCTCCACCTCCTCCTTCTTCTGCAGCGCCAGGTCCCGCGCACTGTCTGCGGCCAGGGCCCGCTCCTTCGCCTCCTTCGCCTCCCGTCGCCACGCGTCACAGGCCTGAAACCCGGGGCAGTGGCGGGCTGCAGCAGCAGCACGGGGTGCCCCCCTTGCAGGCGCGCCTGCCCCGCCCCCACCCGTGCTCACCTGCTGCACCTGCTGCCAGGACTCCTCCCACTGCCTGATCTTCCTCTTGGCCTCGTCCAGCTGCCGCCTGACGCGGGCCAGCTCCGCACTGTTCGGACTCGCACTTGAGGAAGGGGCAGGGCCGGTGTTCAGGATGGGGGACGGGCTGGGAGAAAAGCTGCCGGAAACAAAGTCCCAGATGCTCCCGGGGACGCCGTTCAAGCCTGAGCGCAGAGGGGACAGGAGAGGTCACAGGCCGTGGCGCTGATACCCCACCTCTGGGCCCCGCTGACAGTGACCCCTGCCCCTGGCACCCTTTCCAGCTGCTCAGGCGTCTGGAAGCAGAAGAGGACATGAAGTCAGGGCTGTCCCTGTGCCATCCCTGGCCCCCGAGCCCCGCCTTGCCTCGGTCTGCAGGCCCTGCAGCTGCGGGGGTCGCCTACGGTAGGGGTGTGCACGAGAGAGTAATGTGATACTTAAAATACTCTTTGAAAATACGACGAGTTACACGAGGTAACGTCTCCCAACAAAAAATACAAGGACTTGTGCTGTTACTGTTGCGCCGGTCGGTGTGCTTGGCACCGGGTCTCTAGTGACATCACAGGTCCCAGGGCCTGAGGCCCACCACCACGCACAGGTGACAGCTGGGGCCATCCCGTGTTCGCGCCCTGAGGCACCCTCAGCGGACTGGACAGGAGACCCCTCAGGCGGTGGCCACCCCTGAGATAGGGCAGTGCAACGTGGGAGGGCAGCACACCCCACCACCCCCCTTCCCCCCCCAGACATCATGCAGGGTGGGCATGTCCCCACCAGCACCCGCTCACCTAAGGAGCTGTAGGACGCGGCTGAGGAGCCCAGCGCTCCAGGCTCCGATCTGAGGGCCGGCGGCTGCTGGGGGGGCGTCATGGCTGAGGAGACGAGTGGCCCCGACAGGGACTGGGAGAGCGAGCTGAGCGGGGAGGTGGACAGCGATGAGGACGAGTGCAGGGATGGGGAGCGGGGCAGGCAGCCCGGGATGCTGACGGGTGCTGAGCCCCCCAGTGACCTCGGACCTGCAGAGAGCGGGGGCGGCCAAGTTAGCGGGCGGGGCGGGGGCAGCATGACCACCATGCAGGGACACGGTGGCCGCGCCCGGGTCTCTCTGCGGAGACCATGTTGCTGAGACGGAGGTACCCCGAGGGGCCAGGGGCTGAGAACCTGCCCAACCGAGAACTGTCGCAGGGCTCTGAGGAGAAAGGCTGGCCCTGGGAAGAGCCCGCGGTGCGCCCTCCTACCTGTCGGGCCCAGGTCGCCACTGTCATGCTCTTCCAGCTCTCTGTTTAGAGCTGTGAGGCCGACATCACAGAGATGAAGCTCCAGAGCAGAACCTGGTGAACCAGACGTCATCTCAGCACGGGGCTACACTGCAGCCTGCCCCCACTGGGGAGACCCGCCTTCTCCTCCCCCAGACCATGGCGCTAGCACGGTCTCTGGGGCCCTGGTACGCTCTAGGCCCATCTGCTAAAGGATCAGAGGCATCGAACAACGTGGGGCCCCCCACTTCCCAAAACTTTCCCTCTCCTGCAAGTAGGGCCTCCCTCCCTTCACCCCCACCCCGACAGCAGACCCTGGGGACCCAGCTCAGGCCCACCAGCCCCCAAATCTTCTCAATTCAGCAGCTGCACAGCGGTCGACTCTGGAAGGGGCGGCCAGAGGACCCGGCCCTCCGTGTGACTCCCAGGACACCGGCTGGGGCCTGAGCTGCTGCTGTCTCCTGGCCCAGGGTCTGCAGAAGACCCTGCGGCGCTGATGGCGCAGCACAAGGAGGTCAGCTGCACGCCACCCTGCCCCCACCATGCACCCTCCCACGAGCAGGTGGGCCTTTCCCATGTGGCTGAGCCTTGCTCCCCCCCGCTGCTGCCCGATCAGATGCGTCAGGTACCATCTCTGGAGGCCACAGAACATCCCCCGTCCCCAGGCCCCCAGGACAGACCGCCGTTCCAAAGCCCAGGGGATGCACCGTGGAGGCCCTAGTTGGGCCTGCTCGTTCTGGATCCGTGAGCCCGGCTTCCGGAGCCTTCTGCCTCTGCCCTACCCCAGCGGACTAGCGTCAAAGTCCCCTGAACTGTGTCTGACAAATGACAGCAAGTCAGAACCACTGGTCATTTCTGACCACGTCCCGCCCTCAGCTGGGCCCAGACTCCTGGCCGTGTCGGACACGCTGCTGTGCCAGGGATGTGCTGAGAAGCAGCAAGAGGACCGCAACAACTGCAAACGACTGCATTCGAATCCAGAAGTGAAGGCCGAACCTGCCGGAGGCTGCAGAGAAGCTACTACCTCCTCAAATGAAAAGCATTTACCGTAATTACTGGGAAAACACGGGGTGGAGAGTCGGGGGGAGACAGACTTCCAAACTACCGGCTGCGGGACACGTGCAGAGCAGACTTGAGGTCCGGCCCCAGTGGGGACCGCAGCGTCCTGGAGGCGGCCCAGTGCTGCCTAAGTCCCCAGAGCGCAGGCACACATCCGCCGTCCTCGGGCCACCAGCTCTGGCGTCCGTGGCAGGTGAGAGGAGACGTGCTGGCTGGGGCTGGGAGCCCAGGGGGCTGCACCGCCTGGCGAGACCTGTGCACTCCCGTCAGTGCCACTGCGCCCTCTCGCAGACGCAGCCAGGAGCACAGAGCGGGGGCACTATGCAGGCACAGCCCCCCACCCCCACCCCGCTTTGGATCCCAGCCCCCAGGAGAATTCTACCAAGGTCAGCCTGCTGCCCCACCCTTCACCCTGGCCTCAGGCCTGCCCGCTCTAAAGGAAACACCCTTCCAACAAAGGTTTTAGGGGGTCCCGCAGGTCCCATCCAGGAAGGAGGTGAGCCTGCCAGGTGGTAGCCGGGCCAGCAGCCCCCCCGCCCCACCCCGTGAAGAGCAGAGAAGGCAAGGAGAGCTGAGCATGGACGCGGGGCTTCGGTCCTCTGTGGGGCACAGGGAAAAGGCCCCAAACCAAGACAGCCAGGGAGCCCGCCGCAGCACCACAACCCCCAGCAGCCCCTGCAACCGAGAGTCGCGGTACAACGGACAGATGAATCCCTCAGGGAGACACCGCCCGCCTGGGGCCTGTGCAGCCCCTGCCTCCTGTGGGCTCCCTCAAACCAGGCTTCTCTGGACCCTCCACCTGCTTGCCAGCGAGCTCCTTCCTAACACCCAGCAGCACAGAGGCATTTGCATCCTGGGGCCGCCAAAACCAAGCACAACAGGAGGCGGCTTCCAACAGCGCCCCACAAATCCATTCTCGCTGTTGGGACCTAGAAGTCAGTCCAGACCAAGGCCCGTAGGGCCGGCTCCCCCCAGTGGCTCCAGGGGAGGCTCTGGCCTGCTGGTGTTGCTGGCAACCCCTGGCCATCTTGGGCTGGTAGACACATCACCTCAGCCTTTGCCTCGGCTGTCACACGGCCATCCCTCTGCATGTTGGCCAAACTACCTTCTTCTTATAAAAACACACATCACACTGGGTTAGGACCCATCCGAATGACCTCATTTTACCTTGTTTGCGTCTGCAAAGACTGTTTCCAGATAAAATCACGTTCTCAGACAAGAAATCAGAACTGAGGGCGCCTGGGTGGCTCAGTCGTTAAGCGTCTGCCTTCGGCTCAGGTCATGATCCCAGGGTCCTGGGATCGAGTCCCACATCGGGCTCCCTGCTCGGCAAGAAGCCTGTTTCTCCCTCTCCCATTCCCCCTGCTTGTGTTCCTGCTCTCGCTCTCTCTCTGTCAAATAAATAAATAAAATCTTAAAAAAAAAAAAATCAGAACTGAGACCTACCTTTTGAGGACACATAATTCAACCGGCAATAATGGGAGCCAAGAACAGACATCTACCCAACTACCCTCTCGGGGCTCTGGTGCTTGAACAGGCATCTCCCGAGTAGACCAAAGGCCTGGAACTCCTGGGACACCCCCCAGACAGAACTGTGAACTGCCCGAAGGGTGCACCTGCTCCTGGGGCAGACACTGCAGACCCTGACGCCTCTCATCCAAGCCCACCCCTCGCTGACCAACCCCCACCCCTTCTTGACATCCTGTCTCCACCTCACTCCAAACTACTGCCAAGCCTTGTCCTCCAGCTTTGTCAGCCTTGTACCCATGCCTCTGTACCCCTTGAAAAGGCAGCATCCCCCTCAACCTTGCCCTCCTACCCTGAGGAGCCTGGGGGGCCTGGTAGCCCCTCCAGTGCCTGCTCCATGCCCAGACACACCCAGCTTTGGCAGCCCTAACCCTCAGATGCCAACGTCCCCCAGTGCACTTTGCCGCCTCCCACCAGGAAGAGGCCCCACTGCGGCATCAGCAGCTTCTCAAACTCTGGGGACATAAGAGCCTCCCTCGCTGGTGCACCAGGGCCCACGCACTCAGTAGGAGCCCATCAGGAGACCTCAGGCCCTCTATCCTCCCTGAACTTGCACCAGTGAGAGCCCCAAGCTCCAGCTATCTCAGCAGACTGCCCCTCATGCCCCACCAGCACTGTCCCTCAAGTAGCCTATGATGCCAATCCCGGCACGTCAAGAGTCCTTCCTCCCAGAAAGACCGTGCCCCTGGGCGTGCTGGTGGACACTCGGGCCAGACCCAGCCCCCACTGCGGCTCTTCCTGTCACACAACACTGCTGTAGGCTGCAGCCTGGCAGGTCTTCCATCAGCGCCCCTTGTCCTGTGAGAGCTTCTGCTCAGCCTCACAAACCCTTGTTTTGCACGTCGGCCCAGACTTTGAGGGTACCTGGACCCCGTGCAGACTCACCTGCTGAAAGCAAGCACTGCCCCCCACCATCTGCCCTGCCCCCACCTCTCCACGCTCTGTGCTGTGGCCACAAGGATGGAGGCCCAAACCCACCCTTCCTGTGCTGGCCTAGGGTCTCAAGCCTCTGTCCTGCACATGCAGGTGAGCCAGGCCTGACGATGCGGACTTAACCTTCAGCACCAGGTCAGGCATGGTATGCTTTAAACCGACAGTCCTAGAAACACTTTCTGAATAACAAAAGCACAAATAAACTGACAGATGGGGGAAAAGAAACTGAAGCAGGAACCTTTCCTCACCTGGAAAAGATTTATCTTTTCACAGTCTCCCACCCCCACCCCATGACTCAGCAGAGATGCCCCCCTCCCCCAGCCTCAGGCACAGAGGGGACACAGAGGGGCCGGCCCGCCCATGACAGCGCAGCCAGCGCGCAGGGGCACACTGGCTGCTTGTCTCAGGGGAAGAGCCTTGCCTCCTCCACCTCACTGCTCTCTGAGTCAAACCCAGGTGCTCCGGGATATTCTCTCAAAGAAAGAACGGACTTTTAAGAAGACTTGAACACTCAAAATCTAGAACCAAATTATGAAAGCTGTGCCATCTGACCCAGAACCCTTGTCTTGTCCAACTACCAAGAACCGCCCAGATGTTCATGAGAAATTAGTGGAGAGCAGCTGAGTAACTGCCCTGGCAATCCCCAGATCCTGACGTGACACAGCACATTCAAGAGGCGACGCGGTCCTTCGGGGTCAAAGGACACACAGGGACAATGCGCACAGTGCACAGAATTAAAGACCAGCACAGGGCAGCCCTGATACCCAGGATGCTCCCCCGCCAGGGCCGGATGCCCCCCCAGCAGACGGTCCTCCCCTAATACAGGATGGAGAAGCAGCCAGCAGACCCACTCACCCACCGGCCTGAATTTCCAACAGTGCAGGCGACGATCCCCAGCAGGACAAGGCAGGAACCCCGTCCTCGCCGGGGAGCAAAAGATGTACCTCTCCCCCTGGAGAAGCCCCGCGGATCGCGCCCACGCAGGGAACCAGCGCGCGCCTCTGCAGAGCAGGTTCCCAAAAAGGGTATGTTTGTATTCACATCCCTGCACAGCCTCCAAGGAACCTGGTACTGACCCCTGGCTGTCACACCTGGCCCGGCACACAGGCAACTACAACGGGTATGAGCAGCACCTGGAGATGAGAAGAAGTGCACCTGGGGAGGAGGAAGGTCGGGGGGGAGAAGAGACACTCTTTACCTGGTGGGGGGGGGGGGCGTTGGTGCAGGGGGGTGGTGCACCCGGGGAGGCGGCACACCGGGGAGGTGGAAGGAGCAGGGAGGTGAGAGATGCACCTCACCTGGGGGCATGGCGCACCTGGGGAGGAAGCGCAACCGGGGAGGGGGATTTACGCTCCTGGCAGGGAGGCGCGTCGAGAGGGGGTTGGCTCTCACCTCGCCCGGGGTGCACAGCCAGTTCCGCATAACGACGACCCACACCCAAACGGCGAGGGGCTGACGATGCTGACTCACCGTCCACCGCGCCGCCGCCGCCGCCGCCGCCGATTCAAACGCAGCCCGCGCCCCGCCCGCCCCGCGTCGGCCCCGCCCCCGATGACGTAAATTAGACCCACCCGCCCACCCGTGCCAGCCCCGCCCCCGAGTGACGCAACCTTTCGATCGGCCCCGCGCCAGCCCCGCCCCGAGTGACGTAACCCTGAGACCGACACCACCTACGCCGTGCCGGCCCCGTCCCCGAACGTCTAGACCCTCCGACTCGCCCCGCGCCAGCCCCGCCCCCGCTGACGCAACCCTTCGACCCGACCCGGCCCGGCCCCGCCCCCGCCGCACCTGTCCCGGGGCCGCGGGCAGGTGCGCGTGGGGGAGCCCAGGCAGCCCGAGTCCTCCGAGCCCCCAATCCCTCGCCGCCCTGTGTGTGGGCCCCGGGCGGGGCGCGCACCTCCTGACACAGGCACCTGCCCCTCCGGCCTCGAGGCAGTGTGCCCAAAGCCCAGGTGCACGCGGGGGCTTCGCTCAGCAGGGCCGCTTTGGTTCAGGGAAAGGATCTTCGCTCGGGGCGGAGCAGCTCAGGTGTAAACGCGCCCACCAGGGAGCACGCTGTGGCCCGGGGCCAGGCCGGGGTCAGAATGAACACGCCCTGGCCCTGCCCCTGCCCTCGAGGTCACTGCGAGCCCGCAGCCCCACAGCCAGGCCCTCCGGCCCCTCCATAGTCCGTCTGGTGTCGGGATAAAGGCTCTCCCGCCCTTTACTCCCAGCCACTCCCGGCAATGAGCTCCGCAGACGACTATTTCAGATGGTCACTATTTTAATCTGAAACCTGCTCACATGAAGTGTAAGGCAAAGGAAACGAAATCTATCAAATGACCCTGAAATTATTCCACTAAATCCATTAACTACACAATTAGTCTATTTATTTTAGAGTTTACTCCTCTGTAAGCAGTGCACTGGTAAGGACAGAACCCGAGCCACACTATCCTATGTGAGGAGAAATCAGCCGGTCTACATCGGCCAGCCTCAGGAGGTAGGGCAGGCTCTTTCCCGCCCCCCTAAGCAGCAGAAACGTGGCTGGCTAGGGCCCTCCTAGGGCCAGAGGGCGGCCCTGGGCAGTCCTAACTGGGCCCGTATTACTGGGGTATGACAACACGTGATCTCGGGAGAGAACAGGAGGGTCCCACCGATGGCAACAGCTCATGATTTTAACAGCAACAAAAATGTACTATCTGTAAACAAGCAAGGTTGATCCTGAGAAGACATTAACCTCTTCACTCTGGGTAACTGGTTCACAGAACATTTAGGTAAAGGAAAGAAGGATCTGTAAAATGCTCAGTGACACACGCAAACAGGCTGAGGACCCCCTACTGGAAGGATGACAGCTGGGGACACTGAAAATATACAGATCTGATCTGGAGCTGCCACACCTGCCTCGAGGCCGCTTTCAAAGCACAGGTGCACCCAGCTCTATCCCTTCCTCAGGGAACAAAGCTGAGTATGGCCTCAGCCGATTAGGGCAGGGAGTGTCTTGCCTAATGACTTTTCTAGGATGCTCCAATTTTACTATTACTATCTTTAAACTGGGGAAAATAAGCTTAATTTTTAAAAACTCTGCATAAAACCCAAAACAATAAAATCAAACATGCCGTTCATACCAATGGCTTTCCGGCTCCTGTCCAGGTGGAAACACACCTGCCCCGTGTGCTTTAACCACACGAGTAGGGCAGCCAAGCGCTGGACTCTAACATTCTCTAGGGCAGCTGCTGAGAGACACACCATATGGACTGCGCTTCCTGAATAACCAACCACTCAGCCCCCGAGTGTGGAGGGGACCTGCTCAGTGGCCAGACGGCTCGGGGCTGCCTTCCTGCGGCGCCTTTTGGCCGGATGTGTGAACACTGGCACGGCTGGCCTCCGGGTGCGAGTCAGGGCTGAGTTCTCGAGCTCACTGGCCACATCGAGTCCACATACAACCAGAGACGTCTGTGGTTCAAGAGGGACACCTCGCTCAACCCCAATGCCAAGTCCAGCTCCAATGCTCATGTGTGTGTTGGTGCTTCAAAGAACACACACAAAGAATCTACCCATGAAGGAGGTAAGACTTGAACAAACGCCCCTGGTCTAAGGCAGAGCCGGGAGAGCGGCAGGCCGTCTTCACGCCCACGTGGACAGGATTTCCACAAAAGCCCAGAGCACGGAAGCAGGGGTCACAAGTTTGTGCCCGGCAAGGAAAGAAAGGGCTCAAAAGAAACCAGTAGGGGGAGGGGGTGGCTGCATCAAGGGTGCCCTCTCTCCCCCCAGCGTCCCTTCCGGGGGGGGGGGGCGCGGGGGCGGGGCCAGCTCGATTCTAGAGGGTTCTTCGGCAGAGGAAACAGCTCCACAGCAGAGACCGAGCGGGAACACCAAGGCTGTGCGGGAAGACACACCCGGCCACAGAAGGTCCCCGGGCTTCTAGAAGAGTGACCTTTGAAGAACCTCTTCAGAATGAGCACAGGGGCTCTGGGAAGGCCAGGCTGCGGTGGGAACACGGAGAATGTCCCAGGAGTCGGCCGTGACACTGGGGCAGGATTGCACACGCCTGCCAGGCGTCCCTCACGTCAGCAGGAGAGACCACAGTGGCTCTCGGCCCCTTTGAAGTCCAGGACTTGCCATCTACAGGGCCGCTGGAAAGACACCCTCTCCTCCCTGACCTGGGCCAGCGCCATCTGCACCTGCGTCTCAGCTACGGGCCCCGAGGCTGGCAGTGTGACCGGGGTGCACGAGTTGTAGGGGGTGGAAAACGTGCACACACTCCTTGGCTGTCAGCCACGGACGTTTCTCTCTGGGTAGGAACAAACCATCTCGGGGCTGGCCACCCGGCGCCCTGACACAGGTACACAGGGGCCTTCCCGGTCCCCCCCACCAGTGGCCAGGAGAGAAGGCAGAAAAGAAGGGGTGTGCTCCAGGGCCCCGGGCGCAAGGACGGACCGCGCTGGAGCTGACTGGGCCGGGCCTCTCACTGGAGCGGCTTCCCTGTCCTGCCCATGGCCACACCGTCCCGGACCACCCTGGGACCGACGACACTGAAAGAGCCACAAACAGAGCCCTTGCCAAGTCTCCCTCTACCAGGACAGAGATTCAGGCTCAGGTCAGCCCGGCAACGCAAGCCCTCCGCAGCTGCGGCCACACGTGGGACCACCCAGACATGGGCCGGGGGCCTGCACAGCCCAGCAAGGTCACCCCCTCCAGCTCCATGCCCCTCCCCTCACCCAGTGCTTTCAGCACAACCCCCCCTCCGGCCAGGCTGCAATCACGTGGGTCATCAGTCCCCAAACCCTCGAGGACTCCCAGCAGTTAAGGGCCCCTCAGTGAGGCACGGCCTCTGGCTGCCCTCATCCCCACGCCCCTCCACTCTCATCTTAGGGCCAGGTGGCTGCTGCCGGGGGTGGGGGTGGGGTTCCCAGATCACAGGTGGCTTTCCTACAAGGAGCATTGTGCCCCGTGTCCTGAAATAGATACAACTTAGGTGCGAGGAGAAGTTGGGAGACGAGGGGGAAGTTTTAGACCTACCTGGGGGGGGCTCGGCAGCACCGCCAGGGGGCTCGAGCGGGGCGCGGGCCGGGAGGGTGGGCAGGGCGGTCGGGGAGGAGCTGCCGGAGCCGGCGCTGGATGCCAGGCTGGACGCCACGCTGGAACCCACGCTGTGGGCGAGTGGGTGAGCCACTGCAGACACTGACAGGTGGTTCTGCACAAAGACACACAGACAAGGTGAGCAGATGCGCGCGGAGAACAGCAACGTGACAGCTCGGTGACGGAGGCCACGGCTGAGTGGGGGGGACACGGATGGGACAGTTGGCTAACTTCTTTCCGCTAAGCAAAATATAAAGAAGTTGGACTCTTCCAAACATTCCAGAGGAGCTTTAAATGCCTAGTTGGGGGGCGCCTGGGTGGCTGAGTCGGTTAAGCGGCTGCCTTCAGCTCAGGTCATGATCCCAGGGTCCTGGGATCGAGCCCCGCGTCGGGCTCCCTGCAGGGAGCCCGCTTCTCCCTCTCCCTCTGCCTGCCTCTCTGCTTACTTGTGCTCTCTCTTTCTCTGTCAAATAAATAAAATCTTAATAAATAAATAAATAAATAAATAAATAAATAAATAAATGCCTAGTTGGTTACGATAACCAGGACAGACAGAGTCACTAGCTGCTGCTCACCCAGGGACAGGCACAAATGCATCTAGAAAGGGTCCTATTTAGTGAGCTTTTCTGCAGAAATGGTTTTCAAGAGCAGACACATGGCGGTAAACAAAAAATCCACCAAAAGGCATCAGCAGAGAATCAATACGGCTTCTGAGAACAGAAAAATGATCTCGTTACCTGAGAAAGGTAAAAAGCATGGGGCAACGCCCATGATCTTTATTTGGTAACTAACAGATCAGAACCAGCACGCTCCTGGAGGGCGGCCGGCAGTGTGGACGGCACACTAATGACCCACAGGACGGGCTGCAAGCCAGGGCTCGGGGCTCCGCGCGCAGTGCCTGAGGCACGCCCCAGTCACCGTGCAGTCGGGGACCAGAAGCCACACTGGAGGAAAATGTGTGGCGTCTGGTTTTTACTTCAAAACGAGACAGAAGTTAGCTTTGTGCAGGGGCTACAAGACCATCCGAGTAGGGGAGGGCTTTACTAGTTTGTTGGCTTAAGTGAAATTTTCTACAGTAACAATGGTAATAAAAGAATACATGTTTCATGAGAGGAGAGACACCTCACACAGGATAGTTTCTCCGAGTCAGTGTTTCCTCCTGGACTGCTGGCCGTGCTCAAGAGGGGCCCCCGGTGCAGACATCAGCCACGAGCATCAGGGACGCTGCGACAGACCGCCACCGTTCTACGTGAACCCGAACCGCACGAGTCTGGAGAGCGAGGTCCCCCGGCGCTCCCTGGGCTCAGGCTCAGGCTCAGAGGTGGGCCCCCCGCCTCCACACCGCAGGCCGCCTGCTCCATCCCCCAACGCCGTCCCTCCTCCAGGCTGCATGCGTCCCCCAGCTGTGGCAGGAAGGTGGTGCAAGCACCCCACAGTCTGCCCCACACACTGAGCCAGGCTGAGAGCCCCTGGCCTGAGGCACCTGCTGTGGCTTCATCCACCCAAAAAGCTGTAGTGCAGGGAGACGTGTCCCTCTAAGACATCAGGTGACACTTTATCCTGAAACCTGAGGACACCCTCGCTGGCATCTCCCTGAGGCTACAGGGAGGGAGGGCCTGGAGCCGGCGGGTAGAGAGGTGCCCAGAAGCAAGGAAGGGGTCTCCAGAGGGCCACCAGGCTGGCCTCCAGCCATGTGGCCTTTCAAACTGGGGTCCCAGGGAAATGCTGGGAGCCACTCTGCTGACCTGGGGATCCCCAGGCTGGCTTTGGGACGGGACAGAGGACATCTCTGGGCGCAGGCAGGCAGGGGACTGAAGATGAGCCTGGCAGATCACTCCTGGCTGCTGGTGTACATGAGGACGCACTGGGCGGTGGCGGGCCAGCACGACGTCCCCGGGGTGGCCCCCACACCAACAAAGCCGCCCCTGGGGTGTCTGGGCCTGACAGGTGCATGAGTCCCCCGTGCACCTGCTATGTTGTTGCCAACATGTCAAGCTTCAGGTTCTTAATGAACATCTTACCATTTTAATCTCTTTGAAACATCACAAAATTTTTACTTTCAACTCCCTTTCTGATTTCAAAGCTCCTTAGAGGAGACAAGAACCTACACAACTTGTTCCGGACACTCTGGAGAGTCCTCTGGGGGTGGCCTCAGGTGGGCGCCGGGGAAAGCAGGGCAGAGGGGGACCGGGTGCGTTGCCCGTGTAGAAATTAGGAATAAAGACCATAGCAGAGACCTGCGGACAGGAGGCAACGTGCTCGCCCAGAGGGGGCACGTTGGCTGTCACACGGCGCCCCCAGGCCTTTGAGGCACGGGTGGTGACCGGTGCTCTGAGTGCAGAGAGCAGCACTGGCCAGTGCTGGTGGGGGACCGTGTCCTCATGAAAAGGGGAAATTGCAGACAGACCCAGATGCAGGGGAGAGCACCAAGCGAGACAGAGGGGCCAGTCGGACGACTTCCGGACCGCGAGGGCGTCCGGGGCTGTGGCTGAAGCAGCCCCGTGGGCGGGCTCTGTTCGGGCAGCCCCAGGACACATGGAGACGGGCCATGAAGGGCACCCCTTGCTCCCCGCGGGGTTTTGGTTTTGTTGTCTCCAAAGTGTAACACCAGTATTTTTTTAACATTGAAACAAAAGACCGTGGAACAGGCCAGTTTAAGAAGAAGGTGAGTGAAAACATAATGATGCCCCGAACAGACAACGGCCGGATGGCTCTGGGTCGGAGGGAAGGCGTGTGAGCCCCAGCAGCCTGGGCTGCCCCCCTGCTGTACCTGCTTGCCATCCTGCTCGCTGGGCCGGTGGCTGCCCTCAGCAGGGGACCCTCTCCGCTTTGCCTGCAACAGAAGAAGAAAGCAGCGGTAGACTCCAAACACACAGACGCCTACGCTTTGCGAGCGAGTGAGAAGATGCGGAGTTCGGAAGTGTCGGAAAACAGCAAAGGTGTTCAAGTCACTACCCTCCGTCAGGTCTGACTCCGTCTCTCACACCTGCTCACTGACCTCTGACCTCTGGGCCACGTGAGGGAGGGTCCGAGCTCTGCACTGTGCCCACCACCTCCAAGCCTGAAGCAAAGGGTTATTCTGTTGAAAAGTGCTGAACGCAGGGCGGGGGAGGGAGGGTAAGCTTCCTTTGTGAAGGCACACCCTCCCCTCCCCCATACCTGGGAGCACTCCCTCGCCAGCACTGTGTCCGCGGGGGACAGACCTCACTAAGTAACCCTGACCTGACCTTATTTTCCCTCATTCGTTTACCATCCCAGTTTACCACCCTGGAAACAGAAACCCCTTTTCTTTCATCTTGCCACTTCTGCACGATTTACTGCTCTTTGTTAAAAGGGTATTAAGCTGCCAGGTCCAACTGCTTCTCTATGAAGCCTCACAAACGGGTAAGTAATAACCCTTTCCTCCTGTTTATCTTTTGTCAGTTTAATCTGCAAGGGCCCCAGTACTGAACCTAAGAGGGTAGTGGGAAATGTTTTTTTCTCCCCTACACGTATACAAATCCTGATTCTGATGAGCCACCTGCCAGGAACACTGTGCTCAATGAAGGCTTTGCTCAGAGCTCAGGACCAGTACTCCCCCGGTCAACATAAACACAAAAACTGCAGACCAAGATATCCTTCAGATCTAAGGAGTATCCTGATTTTTATGACTCATTTTACAGTATGTGAACTCGTAGTGGTGGCTCAAGTCATCCTGGCCTTTCTTCCTTTCTTTTTTGGTTTCTGGATTTGCAAAAGAATCCAGAGTGATCACCAGGGGCAGAGGAGGGGAAGGTGTCCAGGCAAGCACTGACTGGGCCCCTTCCTTCTACAGGACACTTGGCCACAGGCTCAACCCGGAGGTCATCCTGGTATTTCTGGGTCCCTTGCATCTCTCTCATCCAGAAGTGACCTCCCACCCGCAGAGTGGGGTGAGGGCTTCCGAAGTCACTGACCAAAGACCTGAGTATCATATGCTTCCAGGCTAAACGATACTGTGTGGAAAGCAAGGTTATCCTGAAACCATTCTGCTTGCTTTCGGAATACAGGGCTCCCTGTGGGGGACCTCGCCCCTTCGTCCAGGCTCCTCACCGCTGCGGGGGCCTGGACACTCCACACTGCACTCTGACCCCCGGTGTCAGCTGTCCCGATGCCAGTCCAGTTCCAACACCCTCTGCCTGGGGTCGGCCCCATGACCTGTGCTTGTGACCTACCACTCTGGATCAGGACACCCACAACTCTCCTCGGGCCCAGCCGCCTTCTAGAACAGCTCACAGGGCTTCGGAAAGCACTTACTTACATTACCGATTTATTACGTAACAGACGATGAGGCAAAGAACACAGACAGCCAGAGACAAATCAGGTGAGGTCCAGGAGAGTCCTGAGCTCAGGCAGGTGCCACCTTCCCAGTACAGACAACCTGTACTTTGGGGATTTTCATGGAGGTTCATCCCATTAACTCCATCTCTGGCCCCTTCCTGCCCCCTGGAACATGTGGGGTGGCGCAGGGAGTTCCAAGCTTCTAACTGTGGCTTGGCCTTCCCGGTGCCCGGCGCCCGGCCCCCGTCCAGGAGCTATGAGAAACCCACCCAGAGTCACCTCCTCAAAACAAAAGATGTTTTTATCACCCAGGAAATTATAAGGGTTCTAAGAGCTGTGTCAGAAACAACATACATGTTTTCTAGAATTTCATAGCCTGATCCTGTTGAGGAACATCAGCACACGGTGTGTTCTGGGCAGACAGAGCCGGCCCGTGGCCCACACTCAGGCCCCAAAGCAGGGAGCGTGCCGTGGAGATGCTCTTTCCCTCCCCTGCTCGAAAACAAGGGAGTCCAACCCCAGACAGAGTCCTCAAACCCAGGACCACGTCTACACACAATGAGACCCCAGGTGCTTCTCCCCAGGTGTGCCCGATGCACGGATACGGTCAGTGTGGCAGGAGTGAGTCTGAGGATGCACCAGAGGCTCGTGGTTTTGTGCCGAACCTCCACTTACTCTGTTCACGGTGCAAAGGAAGTAGCGGGGGATGAGTGCTGTGCACAAGTCAAGATCTGGGGTTTGACGTCGATCCTTACAAACGACGAGACTTGGAGTGAGGGGGAGACTGAACTCTCCCTGCACAGCTCCCCTGCGGTGTGATCTCCTGGTCCAGACCTGGTGCCCTGGGGTGGCCGGTGACACTGCCGCCCCCTGCCTGGCCCTCCCAGAGGGGCTGCTGCAGCAGGAGAGCTCAGGGGGGCAGCTGCCGGGCTGGCCGTGCCCCTGAGCCGCCACCAACACGGTCCACGCAGGGCCCCAGAGGTCAGAGCTGGCCCACAAGAGAGCGTTGGCCTTTTATTCTAATGGAGATGAACTCACAGGAGCGTAAGCTTTCCGAAGTGAAGGGCTCTGTGGCACTCAGCACAGTCACGAGGTTGTGTGACCATCAGCTCCACACAGTTCACACAGCCATCCCCCCAGGAGCTCGGCCACAGCCCCGGCCCCCACTCTGCACCCTAGCAGGCCAACTTCTTAAATTGCAAAATAATTAAACAAAACAACCAACATAAAAGACGCCCTCACCAGACCCCGCGTGCAGGCGTGGGCACACTGTTCCGGCACCGTCCCCCAAGGGGCCCGGGGCTTCCATCCTGCGTTGCCTTCCCGGATACAACCCCCCGAACCGACTCCATTCAGCCCAGGCCCTCAGGGAGGCCAAGCCAGTGGCCTTCTGACCACCACCTAAGCCCACGACTGCCACGGCCCCTGGGAGCCACCAAGAGGAGAGAGGGAGGGCTTCCTGCCATGCCCAGCACTGGCTAGGCTACGGGCCAGCTGGTGGTCCGGAACACTCCCCTGCTTGGTCCGCCAGGGGACACTTGGCTGGGAGTGAAGGAGGGGGTCAGCGGCACAGGGACTGGGCCCTGCCAGGGCTGCACAGTGAGGGAAACCTGTGTGCTGTGGGCACGGGGACGCGAGCAGGGATCACGCTGGACACCCCGGTGCTTCGGAGCCAGGACCGCGGGGACACAGCAGGCACATGACCATTCTGGGCTCCGGGCTCAGACACGCATGCACAGGCCACTGTGCGCCGACCCACGTGGAGCGCAACCACGGCCAGGCCACCTCCGGCACAGGACACAGGGAGGCGCAGAACGGACCGCGACCAGGCGTCTCACCGGCCAGGCTCCTCGCAAGTAAATTCCACCCAGTTTTTCTCACCTTTCCTGTGTTCCTCTTTTTTTTAAAAAAGCACCAAGTGGAAAGGTGGGTGGGGAAATGCCCTGTGCTTCCCATTTCCTCATATGTGGGCACTTTCCCGGCCACCCTAACACTGAGCCACCTCCGTCCTGCCGCAGGGGTGGCTCTCGCCCTCTTGCAAGCATCCAGCGGGAGCAGACGGAAGGAGCCCACTGCACAGCCAGCGGGATGGGCGGGCGCCAGGTCGGAGCCTCCTCCCACACAGACACGAGGGCCCTGTTGAGAGCGCCCCAAATCTCTCCGTGCCCAAAGCAAACCTGCAGCGCCGGGGGCCGCCCTCCTGGCTGCAATCGAGGGACCAGCCCTGCCAGGACACCGCCCCTCCTGCCACGGCTGTCTACCCAGGAGGAGCCCCACCCGGACTCGGGGCCCCTTCTTGATGCTCAGCCCGACACCGCTGTCCTGCGTGGCCGAATCGTGCATGTCTGGAGAGGCTGGGTCAGCCCGCCCAGGCCAGAAGCCCGCCAGGCTCTCACGGACTTCTAGAAGGAGCCGCTGACCCCACAGGCAGACCACTTCCGTTCGTGTCCCTAGGCGCTCATGCCTCAGGTGCTGTCCACTTACGTGTGCAGGCTGGCCGCTGCTGGCCGCGGAGCTGCTGGTGGGGGCGGGAGCCAGGTCTCGGCAGCCCCAGCCATTGGCCATCCCGAGGCTCTCTGTCAAGAAAGGGAGGCAGAGGGCTTTGAACGACCGCGGGCTGGAAACAGCTGTGTGCAGGGTGACCCGGTCCCGGGAGCCCCCACGCAAGGGACGGAGGGAGGCCTGGCGACAACAGTCTTCCCAAGTGACGGGAGTGGGGAGAGGGCGGCAGCAGTGCCGCGACAAAGACAGGAAATTTCAACAAGACTAGCCAACCTCCCCGTTAAAATGAAAAGCAGAAGGGGAAGCTGGAGTTTGCGACTGTCGTCACTGAGCCAGAAGCCTGGGCCCCGCAGCGCAGGGCAGCCTCTGACCAGGGCGGGGGGCCGGCCCGACGTGCCCAGAAGGCATGCCAGGGGCTACCAGCCCCCCTCCTGCTGCAGACGAGAGGCAGGCATTGGGCACTCACTGTCCACGTGTGCGAAGGCGCAGAAGGGACCCCGCGGGCAGTAACCGGTTTGGCGCATATCGTTGCACTTGGTGGATTTGTAGATCTAAGAAACAAAGTAAAACAATAAAATCAATACAGTTTAAAAATGAAACACGGGCACCTGGGTGGCTTGTCAGTGAAGCGTCCGGCTCTGGGTTTCGGCTCAGGTCATGACCTGAGGGTCGGGCTCCCGGCTCGGCAGCTGGGGACGGGTTTCCGCAGGAAGCCAGGAGCTGCTGCGTCACAGCGCAGAGGGCCCTGCTCCAAATCTCAGCGGGGTTTCCTGAGAAGGGGGTGGGCACGTGGCCTATGCCTCACACGCCGTGGTCCACGATCCCCTGCCTTCCACAGAGCAGGTCGGACTGTCCTTGAAATCACACGGAGTCAACTGACCACTTGGCGTTTCCTGAAGAGGCACCCAATTCAGGGCTCGGTATACAGGAGGCACTCAAGCAATGCCCCTGACACAAGTACATGCATGAGCTCCATGGCCAGCCCTGACCCACTACAAACTTGGGTCAAAAATACTCTCATGGTGCCAGTGACACTTGGTTCTGGCCACCAGCTCACCAGGACCCTCGAGGGACAGACCCCAGGCCCCTCTGCACCCCTGCCAGACCCCAATCGACACCCTCAGGAAGGCTTCCCCGGCCTCCCGCCTCCCTTCCCCCACAAATGCCACTCCCCTGGGCTCTTCGCCCTCCTTCCCTGGGGCTTCAAGGACCCTGGGCCAGGAGCAGCCCTCCACCAGAACAGGACGAGTCCCGCTCCTAATGGGCCAGCACAGGCCACAGGGCAACCCTCCGCCCAGGCCTATCACCTGGCCTGGGCACTGACAGGTCCCCATTTCCTGCTCTCCAACTTGACTGCTCCACCCCTGCCCCCTGCTCTCCCCACAAGGCCCCCCTCCTGCAAGCAAGCTTGGTTCACAGATCGGCACACCCCACCCTCCCTGCCTGTCCTCCTGGCGGGAAGCCTGGCCCTGGTCCTCCACCCCCCACCTGCCCTGGTCCCCACACTGTCCCGCCCCCTGAAGGGGGCTGATTTGCTGGCATTCTGCTTGTTTGTTTTTTAAAAAATTACTTACTTGACAGAGAGAGAGCACAAGCAGGGGACTGGGGCAGAGGGAAAAGCAGACTCCCCACTGAGCAGGGAGCCCGATGTGGGGCTTGATTCCAGGACCCTGGAATCATAACCTGAGCCAAAGGCAGACGCTTAACTGACTGAGCCACCCAGGCACCCGGTTTTGTTTGTTTTTTAAAGATTTATTTATTTATTTATTTATTTGAGAGACAGAGAGCAAGCACGCAAGCAGGGGAAGAGGTAGAGAGGATCTCAAGCAGACTCCCCGCTAAGTGCAGACCCCCAATTACAGGGTTTGATCTCACAACCCTGAGATCATAAGCTCAGCTGAAATCAAGAGCTGGACACTCAGCTGACCAAGTCACCCAGGTGTCCCCGCTGGTTTGTTTTTAACACAAATCCAAGTGTGCACTGCTTAGCTCAGCTTCAGCTGACCACACCCCGCACGTTCCAAAGAAAGGACTGGCCTTCACCGGCTCCTGGAGGGGTGACCTCTGAGCCCCTGGAACGTCCTGCCTGGGAAGTGTCTCCGTTTACCTGGTTGTGGGCCACACCAGATGGTAACAACGTGATTTATGGTGGCGGCTCTGGGCCATGCAGTGTCAGCTCAGCCTCTGGAAGGCTGGAAACCGAGATCAGCCACATCCACATGACCCCTGATAAAAACCCTAGACACTAAGGGCCAGGGGGTCTTCCCCGGTTGGTGACACATCACTGCCGGAAGAAGTGGGCGCTGTCCACATGACCCACTGGAGGACAGAGCTGGGCGTCGGTGCCTGTCTCCCAGGGACCCTGCCCCACTCAGGACCCCGCCCTCAGCGGATTTCGGCCTGCATCCCATCAGTAACAACTCTAACTGTGGACACCACAGCACTGCTGAGCTCTGTGGGTCCTTCTAGCAAGTCACAGAACCTGAGGGTGGTCCCCGGGGACCCCAGACACAGGAGTGCCGCGCTCGCACAGGCTGGGAGCAGGGCTGTGGCTCCCGTGGCAGACGGGCTCCTACCTCGGGGTGGAACTGCTGCTCCGCGCGAGAATGGCAGTACTGACAGCTGTCCCCGCTGTCACACCTCGCGGGCTCGCCCCACTCGTCACCGTGCTTCACGCTGGGACACGGGGTGGACCTGGGGGGACGGGGCGGGGTCACTAGGGACTTAAGAGCAGGCGTCCTTCCTGCACACCTGGGGCTGCCCATCCGTCCAGCTGTCACGGGGCTCCCCTCGCATGCAGGATGGTGCGTGCGGCCCCGGACGCATGCCTCTTTCCTTACCAGGACACACAAAAGCAGGCTGAGTGCCACCTAAACCCAGACAGGGACTCAGGAGGCCTGTTTTTATTTTCTACAAAACATAAAGTGAGGCTGAGTCAGAGCCCCATGCTGACGTGCGGAGCATGTCGGGGAAGGAGCCGGGGAGACGGGAGGCCGGGCCCAGCCTCGCGCGCTGCACGCTCCCTCGAATCTGAGATGTTTGATCCCACAGTTTGAAAACCCAACCCAAATCTCATTCTTCTGGGACTTACTGGCAACGTTATTCTCATTTCTTTGGATTTACGAAAAAATTGACAGCAGAAAGAAGTAAGATTTTACTATTATTTAGCACATTTGCTATCCCTTCAATACACGGTCAATTCGCTTTATCTTCTCCAGCTTACCTCCGGTGAATAACACCTGGAGGCTACGAATGTGCAGCTCCCTGCCCCTCAGCCCCGAAACGACGCGGAGAGAGGACCCTGGCTGTCACGGACCAGCTCGCCATGAGCGCGGGCACTCTTGGGCACACGAGGCAGCACAGAATCCATGCAAGAAGGTGGCAGGGCTCAGGCTAGGACGGGCCCCGTGCCCTAGGGGCTCACCTGTACTGGAACCTCCTGGGGTTTCGCCGTCGGTCCCGGCTGTTGTGGTAGTGCGGACACGCGTAGCCCTGGCGACACAGGCGCGGGGGCTTCGGGCACTGCTCCGTCTTGTAGCTGCCCAGCACGAAGTTAGTGTCTGAAAAACAGGGGTCCACGTGGGAACGTGTACACGCGCTCACACGGCCAGGAGGAGAAGCATCCCCAGTATCCGTAGATGGATGAACACAGTGTGTCTGCCCCATGGCCACGCACACCCACTACAAACCAGATGAACTCGAGAACCTGCTGATCAGGGACAGACCAGACACAGGAGTCTAGCAACCGTGTGATTCCACCACAGCAAAGGTGCGTGCGGCAGATCCGCAGACAGGAAGGACAAGGGTGCGGCGGGGGAGAGGGTGGGGCTGACCGTGGGGGCCAGACAGAGTCTCAAACTAGCTCCCAACAGGACTGCACGACCCCAAACATACTGAAAACCTCTGAAACGGACACGTTAATCCTGATGTAAATGATGGACGTTGGATGATAAGGGCATGTAGTCCTTGTCAGCTCGCAGGTGGGGACATATGTCCCACAGCGGCGGGGAAGGAGAGCACGTGGAGTCACAGGGTATGTGGGAACCCTCCATACTTTCCCATCAGTGGAATCTAAAACTGCCCCCAAAATAGGTCTATTTTTTAAATGATTAATTTCATGCTCTTTGAATTTCATCTCAAAGCAAAAACAAGCCAAAAAACCACTGGGGTCATTTAAAAGCAGGAACTAATGAAAAGATATTCCTAAAAATTATACCATTCTTGGGCTGGTTAATAACGGACAGCACTGAGCTCCATGCTGAGGGACAGAGAGCAGCAGTGGGAGGGACAGCCCAGCCCAAGAGCCCGGAACCACGCCACCTGGCCCTTAAGAAACGTCTCCAAGTCCAGCCACACCAAATTCAATTTCAAATACGTCATCAAAAGACAAGAAAGGTAAACCACACAGGAGGGTGTGGAGAGAACAAAAGGGGTTTGAGGAACAAAAAGGCTGACTTTAAGAAAATTATAGAATATTGATTCCCAAGTATTGACCGCTTGCCCGGTAGACACAAGGTCCTGCCGAGTGCCACGAAACAGGCAGAAATGAGCTGTTCACAGCAACCAGGAGACACAGGCTCCTCGATGCCTTCAAAGCTACAAAGTAAACGTGAAGGCCAGGCGTCCAGAAAGTCGCCTGCGAGCATTCAGTCCCAGCTCCTGGGGTGGTGAGGACGTGGTCTGCACACACCCAGGCGTGCAAACACACACCAGAAGCAACACATCCCATGCTCATAGCGGAAGGCAACCAAAACACAGCCTATGACCCCAAAGTCCTTCAGGAGGCAACGGACACAGGAACGGTGGTCCATCCCAACAGTGGGCTAGAAGTGGGGAGAAGACATGCGCTAGCGAGCCAGGATGATGTGGCTCCAGAGGAAAGAAGCCCGTCTGAAAATCTACATCCTGGATGATTCCAACTACATGACATTCTGGAAAAGACAAAGCCATGGAACAGAACGATGGCGTAAAGGGCCAGGGGTCACCAGGGGCTGGGGCAGTGGTGCCAGCCTGTAGGATCCTGTAGGGCAGACACAGGACTGACTTGTCCAAGCCCATCCCCCACCCCCAGGCCACCAGGAGCCCTGAGGGAAAACTGTGCTCAGTACTTAGTGATAAAGTATCCATCTTGGTTCCTTGACTGTAACAAATGTATCAGGACAGTGCAGGTGTTTCTAACACGGAAGGCGGGGGCAACGTGGGAACTTGGTACTACCTGCAACTTTTCCGTAAATCTAGAGAGGCCCCAAAATAAAATCTACTAATGAAAAAGCCAAACCCCACCTCAGCCCAGCTCTGGGACAGGAAGCCCAGGAAGGAGATGTGCCCGCGACACAATCCCCTCCCTGGTGGCAGCCGGAGGCTGACCTCACCAAGGAGATGCCGCAGTAAAGGTCAGAGCAGCCTTGGGGACCAGACGTGTGGGTTCAGATCCCACTTGGCGGCCGCTACCTGAGGGACTGGGGGTAATGTACGCAACTGGAGACTCAGTTTCCCCATCTGGTCTCTGAATGAAGGGGGTGAGGTCCACTGTGTGGTCATTTTGCAGACAGAGACGAATGCCCCCTGCCCCCCTCCGTGGCGGCCTCGGGGTTACCTTGCCACCGGGGGTCCTCACCCAGGATCTTCTCAATCATGGCCTGGCTGGCCAAGACCCCGGGCTGCAGGTCAGGGATGCCATCCGCACCGCAGAGCTGGCCGTTCTGCAACGCTTCCTGGGCCTGGAGCTCCCTACGATCAAACCACACGGTGGTCACTGCTCTGCCGCATATCTGCCTCAGCCCTTCGGGAAGGGGAGACAATCGTTTGCTTCTGTCACTCTGTGCAGCTACCTAGAAGGTTCCGGACGGGCAGCCCTCGGGCACAACCCTAAATCCAACACCGTCAGAGCCGAGTTGTGTGTTTAGCGAGCATCTGGACGCCTCCCTCGAGCTCAGCCCCGCGAGCTCCCACGGCCACATGCATCAGGAAGGAAACTGTCTCATCAGGAATGAAGTCAAGGCCTGGAGAGAGTGCTGCTGTGGCCGGCAGCGCCCACAGCCCCGGGAGGGGAGCGTGGACACCCCCACGCACCTGATGTCACACACGGGTGGCCGCAGGTCCAGCGGGCCGTGAGCAAAGGCGCAGTGCAGCCCGTTCTTCACGCAGTGGCCCCGGGCATCCGTCTCGTGGATGCACGTGCCCGTCTTGTAGTAACGCAGGTGGTACTTGCGCTCAGTGTCCCCGGTCGTCCGGTGCAGGTACGGACACCTGGGAAGCAGAGGGGCCAACATAGGCCATCTGAGGCCTTGGGGCTGGGGGCACCCTCAGCATCGACCTGCCCCACCCCACAAACACCTGCTCTCACCATGGGACTGCCACCCCTGGCAGAACACCTATCCCCAGGGCACTCAGACCCCCACAAATCCCTCAATACATGTGGTAGAAAATACAATACCAGATTTCCCTGAAAATCACCCTGCATCATGTTGTGAATATGGACAAATGAGGCTCCCCCCTTTGATACAGCTGTGTCCTCACTGTTCCTGACAAGCGTTACCAGATGAGGGGTTGGTGGTCACTCCCATCCCACCCAGAGACTTCTGGGGACCCCTCGAGGGAAGGAGGGGCCTGGGCCTGGCTAGAGGGGGATGGCGGTGGGACAAGAGAGAAGCAGATGCAGGGGGATGGGCAGGATCACGTGCAGGTGCCAAGCCACTCACTCCTGGGGGAGTCCACACGACTCCCCAGGCAGCGAAGGGCAGCAAAGGGCTCATGCTGCAGGGGGGTGGCCAGCACACGTGGAGACGGTCCCCGAGCCCACCTCGAGGTCGATCAGTCCCTCTAGACAAGAGTCACAGAGAAGAGCAAGGAAAAGGAGTCTGAGCCAGCCGTGTCCCTGAGCCACCCAAGGAGTGAGGTGGGAGCCTGTCACTGCCTGTCCCCTCCAGCAATGGCCAGGGAGCACCACGTGAGGCTCGGGTAAGGCCCAGTCCCACCTCACTGCCCTATGAGGTTCCCCACATGGAGCACGGACGAGACCCAGAGAGAACAACTCGGGGGCCTCTCACTCTCAACTGCTATCTCCCACGATAAGGACATGCAGGCTCAGCCTTGGCAGAGAGCACCCCAGACCTTTTGGGGCACCTGGGGTGTGCACAGCACAAGGAGACAGACAGGACGCCATGCCCACGAGGCTGGGTCCTTTGGAACCAACCAAGCAACCACCGAAGGAGAAGCCAACGGGCGGGCCGGGCAGTTCTGCTCCCGAGGTGCACCCAGAAACGCCGGAAGCACAGGATCCACGACAGCCTCGGCCTCAAACAACCCTGATGCCCATCAACTAATGAGCGGGGAAGCAAAGGGGGGGGCCCATCCAGACAACAGGACGTTACTCAGCCTTAGAAAGGAAGGACATTCTGACGCGTTTTACAAGACGTACACCTCAAGGACATTCTGCTCAGTGACAGAAGCCGGACACGAAAGGATGAAGGCTCCAGGCAGTCCTAAGAAGTCAAAGAGCAACGGGGGATCGCGTGGGCACGAGCAGCTCGGGGACCCCCGAGGACTGAGTGCACAATGGGCACATCTCCCATGTGCAAAGCTGGAAAGAATCTGGAAGCAGACAGTGGGGATGGGTGCACAATACGGTGAAAGTCGTCACTGCCACTACCCTGCACTAAGAAACACGGTTAAAATGGCACATTTCACGTCATACGTGTGTAACCCTAATCATCGACAAAGCCCACTGGGACCAGAGAAGAGGGAGAGGAGAGAGATTTGATCTATTCCTACAGAAAAGTGCGCTCGTGCAGTGTTTTCACACCTCGACACCGCCACATCCCAGCACTGGTCTGTGACTCAGTTTTGGGCAGCCAGGTGGCGGAGGCTGTCACGGAGAGCTCAGCCACGCTGGACAGCCTGGGGGAGAACACGGGGCCCCGCCCCTGCTTTTCACGTGACCGAACACCATTCACAAAGGGCACCAACCGTGCTCCCTGGAGGTGCCCGCCTGACCTCCCATCCCGATGTCTCAATGTCACGTCTCAGCCTTCACTCGCTTCCTAGCGGCCCCTCAGGAGAGTACTAAGCACCCTCTGGTTTCCTCTCTGGTGCTGTTGCCAAGGCAACCAGAGCCCAGCCCAGTCCCCCTGCCCAGCCCTGAGCACTGAGCATGGAGCACCGAGCACGACCACTGAGCACTGAGCATGACCACCAAGCACCGACCATGGAGCACCAGCCACGGAGCACTGACCGAGTACCGAACACAACCACTGAGCATGGAGCACTTAGCACCAAGCACGACCATCGAGCACCGACCACAGAGCACCAACCACAAGGAACGAGTACCAAGCACAACCACTGAGCACGGAGCACCGAGCACCAAGCACCGAGCAGGCACTATTATTTTACTCTGGCCATGACCTCAAGACATGGACGGGCTCTTAATGAAGGAAAACGGCTCCACCTTTGGAAGGTCTGAGAGGGGAGGGGAGGCCTCACACAGAACACAGCGGGAAAGCCAGAACTCTCCCTGGGGCAGGAAAGAGCCAGGGTTCAGCCCAACACCGCATGCAGATTCTTCCTCGCAGGAGCCCGCCGCACCCACGATGTACCCAGGTGTGACTAGGTTCTGCCAAGCACCAAATTCAGGTGAGCCCCTTGCTTCTCAAGCCATCTGCCACGATTAGTGACCAAACAATGCAATTCAACCAGGGTTCCATCACGGGCATGATGCAGCATCACGCTAGAACCTGGGAGCCAGGAAGGGGGGAGCAGGAGGAACAGACCAGGGGCTCAAGACTGCCCCTAACTCTCCAAGAGAGCCTGAAATTAACCCCTCCCTCTGGCAGCCCTCACCAAGATGGATCTGCAAAGGGGACAGAGGTGGTCCACCAAGCCCATCCCCACTGTGCACCAGCACCAGCCAGGAGCACACTAGGGTGTGCGTCAGAAGCCCCGGAAGGGCTGGCCAGTCCCAGAGGTGATGCTGCCGTCCAGGTGGGAGCCTCAGATCCCACCTGCAGGACAACCCCAGGTGACGTCGATGCTGCTGGGCTTTAGGGGACGCTCAAGTGCAACCTGACTTCTTGCCCACACCCAGGGGGCTCAGACATGCGGGGGGAGACCCGAACATAGCACACAAATAACTGAGGCGCAAAATGAACAAGCCGAGTAACTGGATGCAGCCACGGAACACGGGTGACAACAAACATGAACAAAAGGAGGACCCGTGGGCCGCAGACAAGTGGGGGCAGGGAGGTGGGGGGTGGGCAGGTGGGGCTTCCGGGGAGAAGCTCGAGTGTCATCGCACATGCACCCCTCCTCTTGGACGCTAGGGAAGGGGGGCTGCCAACTAACCCCTGTTGACCACGTCCATCCCCTCAACTCTGCACCTCCAGTCTCTGGACTTCGGAGCCAGGACAGTGACCCCTCATTAGTCCCTAACAGGGACCATCAGTACCAGCAACAGGTGTCACTCCTCCCTCTGCGCCCACAAAGCTGACACCCCATCTGGAAGACAGAAGGCTCCGCCCGCCTGCGTGGGACCTCCCTGTGCCAGGGGCCTCCTCCTGGTCGCCTCCTCCATCCCTGCACCTTCGCTCTTCGGGGCTCTCCCAGGCCAACCCAGTCACCTGATGTAATCCGGTCAAGCTGGCTAATGTGTCCCCTAAAAGCCTGTGTCTTCCAGACCGTAAGTAGCCCCCTGACTACAGGCTGTTTGGCTCTAATGTTCAGGACCTGCCTTTGGCTTTCACCCCACCCCAAATGCCCAAGCAGAGTTCTCTGGTGAGACCAGCTTGGAGCAAGCTTACAGCTACCCTGCAGAGAAATTCACCCAAAGCTGAGGGCCCAGACACTCGGGTCTTCGCGCAGAAAGACCAGAGAGGACAGGTGTGGTGCAGCAGACGCTGAGTACAGCCACTCTGGGTCAGCAAGCTCCCAGCGGCACACCAGGACGGTAAGGGGAAAGCCCATGGAATCACACACCAACAGCCCACCTGGCCCAGGGCCTGCGTCCCCACAGACTCCAAGGGCAGTGAGGAGGGGGCTGTGGGGGAAAGAGCCTGGCCTGCCACGGGAGCCCTGAAGATATAAGGCCACAGGAACAGGTCGGGCCTATCTCTTTTTCAGCGAGAAAATCTGTAACGGGGTAGGGAGGACCACTCGCCAGGGCAGGAGGCGGATCAACAGAGGAGACTGGTTACTTTGTACTTGACATAGTTGGGGGCTGCTTGATTGTTTCCCCAATGAAAATGTTCTCCAGGAGAAGCCCCGCAGACCCCTGGAAGCCCGCCTCTGCGAAGGCACCTGATCATCCCCAGGAGCGAGCCCGCGCTCTCAGGCAGCGGGAGGGGCCAACCACACGCGGGTTCCAGGTGCGAACACTCACACCAGCCCTGCGGGTCGGCGGGGGTGGAGCAGGGCCCGCGGGGGGCCTGGGGCTGTCCACACCCAAAGCCTCTCTCAGACCAGCTTTCGGGATGGGGCCGGACCACGAAAACCCTCCGGACAGGAGTTGCTTTCCTTGAAGCCCAGCCTAAGAAGTACCTGAAATGGATCCTCACAAGTGGGAACACCGACCTGGTGGAGCTGGGCCAGACCCTAGGTTAGCAACCGGCGTCCTGCACCGCCCGCCCTCTCCGTGGACTTCCAAATGCGCACCCCGCGGAGCCGACCCCGGCGTCCCTGCCGCGCAGCGGGGAGGCTCCTGGCCACGGGGCCGAGCGGGAGCACGTGACCCGCACGGCCAATCGCGGCCGGCTCCGGGGAAGGGGCGTGTCCGCCAGAGCGGACCGCCCCCAGAGAGCAAGGACCGCGGGCCGCCAGCGCAGACTGACCTCCCCCGCCAAAGGGGGGTCCGCCCGCCGAGAAAAGGGGGTCATAGCAGGGGTGCCCCTGGGGAGGGGGAGATGACAGCGGGGGGTCTACCCAGAGGTGACGCAGGGAGCACCACGGGGAGCGAGGGGGGCCCGGAGGGAAGGGGTGATGGTGAGAGGGAAAGGGTGACCACCCGCCAAGGAAAAAGGGTGGGGGAGGGGGGCCACAGGAGGAGGGGTGACAACAAGGGGAGAAGGTGACCGCCAGCCTAGGAAGGGCCGTGACAGCAGGGGTGCCATCCCTCCGGGGTTCCCCCGTCCTGTCCTGCCCCACAGCTCAGCCACAAGGCGCCCCCAGCCAGCGCCAAGAACAATGCTGGATGCTTCTGTCACCCGACAAGGCCTGAAGAGTTTTTGCTCTCTCATAGTGTTCATGCTTTTAAATAACAGGTTGGTAGTACATATGCCCCAACCAGAACTCTCAAGAACCCAAGAACTGAAATAAAAGGGAGGTTCTGTCCTTGCTCTGAAAGGGACTATCTACTTAAAATTCCATGACGATGCAGCATAAACCAGACTATGTAGTCCCATGGGACAAACTCTGGGCCATTCCACTTGGGGATGAGAAAACCCCTCTCCCATGGAGTGGAGGAGGACTAAGGAGAGATCCCCAGGGGAGACATCTGCCCCACCAAACACTTCCTAAAGGACTCAACACAAGGGACAAATCTTTACTCAGACATGTGACTTTCTCACTGTATGCAGGCTCACAGGATGCACCCACAACAGGAAAGGGCCAACAGGCAGCTCACTCCCACTCATCCTGGTTCTCAATGATGACCTCTATGTCATTTAGATTACACATTAATATTTCTGTAATCAATAATTGCGTGCTATTTACTACTGAGCCCAGCTGAAATGACCACGTGCAGGTAGGTGTCCAGTGCCGATGCTTCATCCTGCAAGAACTGGTTGCCACCCTAACGCCCAGCAAAGGGGCTGAGTCAATACCAGGACATGCAGACTCCAGAACCCCAAACAACTGTGCAAACAGACTTTGTCCACATGCATTAAGAGCATTAGTCGGGGCGCGTGGGTGGCTCAGTAGTTAAGCGTCTGCCTTCGGCTCAGGTCATGATCCCAGGGTCCTGGGATCGAGCCCTACATCGGGCTCCCTGCTCCGCGGGAGGCCTGCTTCTCCCTCTCCCACTCCCCCTGCTTGTGTTCCTGCTCTTGCTATATCTCCGTCAAATAAATAAATAAAATCTAAAAAAAAAAAGCATTAGTGAATACTGTCAGTTGGTCCTTTGTACTGACTGGGCTCTAGGACGGAGTCAAACATGCCAGGTTACTGGATCCCTACACCAGGGTCAAGCAGCAGTGCTCCCACCACCCCGGGTAACTCAGGACCCAAGGCCCAGGAGGGTGACTGACGTGGCCAAAGAAAATAGGGGACCTGATGCCAGGCCTCAGCTTGTAAACACATCCCTTCTGAAGACCCGCTTACAGAAAACATCAGCTCAAAAAGCAATTAAATAGGGACACCTGGGTGGCTCAGTCGTTAGGCGTCTGCCTTTGGCTCAGGTCATGGTCCCAGGGTCCTGGGATCGAGCCCCTCATAGGGCTTCCTGCTCGGTGTGGAGCCTGCTTCTCCCTCTCCCTCTGCCCCTCCCCCAATCTTAAAAAAAAAAAAACTTTGCAGGAGCATAACTCCATCTTAAAAGAGGAGGAGCTGGGCACATTTCTTCAGCAGGCTTCAAGCTGCCTTAACAACAATCCTATTTAACTATCTGGTGTTCAACTACACTTTCAGTAAGTGTGTAAGTGTATGAAGTTTATGATAATGCATGGATGAAAAGTTTACTCCCTGGCCTGAGCATCTTTAGAAAATGAAGGACAGCAGACATCACTCCACTCTCTGTGCAGGAGAGTGAATGTGGTCTTCCAAAGGGAGCATTCCTGGAGACCCAGCTCCTTTCAAAGGATCAGGGAATGGAGCCTGAAGGACCTCCCTCAAATCAGTGCTGGATCTGAACAGAAGGGGAGCAAGCAGTGGTTTTCGGAGGGCCTGGAGCTCAGGGAGGCTACCCTATTTCCAGGCAGAGATGGATCAGCCCTCCTCCTGCCTCAAAGGGTCCAGGAGAAAAGTGCAAAACCTCCAGCTACGAATTTCTGCCCACTCTGTGAACACACACTCTGCGCTTGCCTGTTTCCCAGTCTACATATTGCTAAATAAATACATCTGTTCATAACACCATGAAGAAACTTAAGAAAAAAGCCAACCAAAACAAAACCTTAGTTTCTTAAACTTTAAAAGTGCTACGGAAAAGGCAGTCTACAAATAAGATAACTTTCCTATCAATTTTTTAAAAAGAAGTCATATAAGTAAGCCACAAGAAAGGAAACGTTCCAGATATAATTTACACAGTGTGAGCAAGCATTCTAGCACACACTCTGACCCACAGCTACAGAGTGGTCCTACACCTAACAGGTGCACCTTATGAGGGTTGGTTCTAATGCAGAGAAGGCGGGGAACTGGGTCCAACGTGGGCAGGCCAGTGGGTTTGCACCATGCACGGGGCGTCCCTGAGACACATAGCCCTCAAGGCAGAGAAAAGCCTGCCCCCCACCGGCGGCCGCGGGAAGGCTTCCGAGGGAAGACGGGACCCGCTCTGCAGGCGGCCGCCCGGCCCCGACACACACTCACTCGTCGCCGTCGGGGCACACGCCGCTGGCCTCGTCGTACTTGGAGCAGTACACGTCCGGACTGTAGTTGAAGGTGCCGTCCCGCCTGCGGAGCGGTCTGCGCCGACGCTGATTTAGGAAATGCCAATGGAAACAGGTAAATGGCCTGTGCTGGGCGCACTTGTGCTGCACAAACAGGGCGCACTGCTCTGTCCTAAACTCCTTTAGATACCTAAAAAGACAAACAGCGTTGCGGGTCGCTTCCGCCGCCACCGCCGCCGGCGGGCGGCCTCGGGGACTCGTGGGCGGGGACCGGACCCCGCAAGCCAGGGTGCCCCAAACTCAGGAGCAGCCCCCACTCTGAAGGGCAGATGACCCCAAACGGCCGCCCCCCATCCCCAGAGCACAGTCCCCGACCCCAAGCGCAGGCAACCATCTCCGACCCGAGGTGCGACCCCCCCCGCACTCCGAGTCCAGACGGCCGCCCCACCCCACCCCCAGCCGGGGCACGATTCCGGACCTCGTCCGCAGCACCCCCCATCCCGGCCACTGACGTGACCTCCAAGTTCACGCGCAACGCAGCGACCCGAGGCGCGTACCGACCCAGGGCAGAGGCAGCCCGAGTCCAGATGGCCGCCCTCCCTCCGAGCCCAGGCGCGGCGGCCCATCCCCTACCCGAGGTTCGACGCCCGACCCCGAGCGCGACCACCCACTCCAAGTGCAGACGGCCGCCATCCCCAGCCCGGATGCGATTCCCTGGGCCCGGTCCGCAGCATCCCACATCTCGACCACTGACGCGACCCCCAACTTCAGGAGCGACACAGCGACCCCAGGCACGCCCCTACCCCCAAGCTCTGGCGCCATCCCTGATCCCAGGCGGAGGCACCCCGGGTGCAGATGGCCGCCCGCCCCCCGATCCCAGGCACATTCTCCGCAAACCCCCGACCCCCCACCGGAGGCGCGTGGACCCCCGCCTCCTGCCGTGCTCCTCAGCCCCCGCCCCCAGGTGCCGCACTAGACCCTGGGTGCCGCCTTTCCACCTCAGGCGGCGGCAGCCCGCGTCGGACGGCGGTCAACCCGCCCGGAGCCCGGGCGCGGGGCGGGGGGCAGCGCGGGGCCCCAGGCCGCACCGGCGGCGGCACCCAGGCCCAGGGGCGCGGGGCGCGAGCCGGGGGGCGCACGGGGCCGCCCCCCGCCCCGCTCCCGTCCCCGCCGCGACCGGCCCGGCCACTGACCTGTAGTGGGTCGGCTTCTCCGTCTGCGGGGGGGACCCGCTCAGCGCCGCCGCCGCCGCTTTCGAAACCGACGGCATTTTCAGTCAAAACAATGCAGCGCGCATGCGCCAGGCGGGCCCGCCCCCGCCCCTCCGGATCTCCCCCCGCGCCGAGCCCCCCGCGCGCCCGCCCGCCGGCCCCGCCCCCGCCCCGCCCCGCCCCCGCCCCCGCCGGCGCCCGGCGGACCCCAGACCCGCCTGACCACCGAGCCCAGCGTCCGGCTTGGCAGGGACACGCCCCGAGCGCGCCGCCCCCGCCAACGCGGGCTCCCCTCATCCACGTTCATCCCAGCCGGCACTCAGGCGAACCCCGGCCCACCCCTCAGCGACCTGCGCGACCCGGAGCAGGTCCCCCGCGTGGAGACAGCGGGCTGGCTGCTCACACTAGCACTCCACTCATTCATCGACTCTAACCCCCGGGCTGGGTGCGGAGCTGCAAGGAATGGACGCAGTTGCTTAGGGGTGGGTGTGGGAGATGTGGGGGACCGTGCGCCACTGCTTATGGCTACCCAGCTTTCTTTTAAGGAGAACAGGTCCCCAAATTAGATTGTGGTCATAGCTGCCCCAAGTGAATATATGAAACTTTTTTTTTCATTATATACTTTAAGTGGGTGAATTGAATAGCATGTGAATTATGTATCAAGAACGCTGATTTTAAAAAAGAATCCAAAAAGCTCACAGTCAAGGGGGAGTCACACGCCCCTCCCGTCACCAGCAGGGTGCGTGGGGACGCACAGGGGGTAGGCACTCCAGGAAGCAAGCAGCAGCAGCAGGGTCCTGCCCAGGTGACCCCGGAAGGAGGAGGGTGTGCACTTCAGGAGGGAGAACCTAAGCCCAGAGCACAGTTTTGTAAATATGTGGCATGAGACATTTTTTAAAATGTTCAACCTGGCTGGTAATTAAAAATTTTCTTAAGAAGCAAATTTAAAATAAGGCAGAGCCCACAGAGTGGGCAAATATTTTCTGAACAGAAACCCGCAACGCTGGTGACCTGCAGCAAGACAAGCCCTTGAAGAAGTGTGGCTGGGCAAGGACAGAAACAGTTAAATAATAAAAGGCTTTACGTAACAGTTTACCTGTCCACCTGCTCTGCCCCCGTGCCTTTGAAAAGCCCAGGTCAGGGAGGGCCTACTCACACTGTCACCAGCTGGCCTTGGTCTTCCGTTTGCTTATGACAAGGCCCACCCGTGTCTGGGGTGTGAAGTCCGGAACCAGAACACCCCTCGCTGGCGGCTGCCCTGGAGATACTCAGGATTTGTTCCCATGTGGTACACGATGTATCATCAAAAACAGTACTACCCACCCTTGTGTTTTGAAAAGCTGTGTATTTATATACACACAAAACAATCTGGAAAGGTAAACAACAAAGTTTTCACAGTGGTTAGCTCTAGGTGGTGGGATTTTTAGTGTTTCTGATTCTCTTCCTTTTGCTTATTACAGTATCTAACTTTTCCAGATAAATCACATTGCTTTTGTCACAGGAGAATTAATTTTAATTAAAACAAAAATTCTTGGGGCGCCTGGGTAGCTCAGCTGGTTAAGCGTCTGCCTTTGGCTCAGGTTGTAATCCCAAGGTCCTGGGATTGAGCCCAGCATCGGGCTCCCTGCTCCACAGGGAGCCTGCTTCTCCCTCTGCCTCTCCCACTCTCTCTCTTTCTCTGCCTCTCATGAATAAATAAATAAAATCTTAAAACAAAACAAACAAACAAAAATTCTTTTCATTAGGTCTGACGTTTTTTTCCCCTGCAGGAACTAGTGAGAGAAAAGTAAGGGTTCCGGTTTAAATGACTTGCTCAAACAAAATAGTTCACAATTAAACAGATAACCACCATGCCAGGTTAGGGAAAGGACGGCTTATTTCTTTGTTCCCGCTGGGATAACAATGCAGCCTGAGATACAATTAGGTCAGTCTTTCCAAACCTTGACCTGTGTTTAAATAATGAACATACTTGTATCGGTTCCACTTCTGTAACAAGCCTAATTTACCCAGGTGGGCCGGACACTGAGAGTACTCCAGCATAGAGACCCTTTCGGAAGCCGTATGCTGGCAGGTAACCAGCAGCCTTCCAACACCTGAATGAAAGAAACCTCCAGGTAACTTTGGCACCACAGACATGCCAAGATAAAACCTTCCACTAGAAGCATAAGTAAATAAAAACCCTCGTTTTGTGCATCTTATATTTAATTCAGAATTAAGCAGTTTCTTACTAAGTAGTACTTGAAAAGCATATCATTTATATACCCAAAAATATTGCCTGCAATTTGTCAAAAAAAACAAAAGAAAACTTATCAGTCTTATTCTGCTCAGAAAATTGTCACCTTGCTAAAAATAAAAATTTGTAGAGCTGAGAAAGTTCATTATTTCTGGTATCCTTTGTAAATTCCACAATTTACATTTAGATTTCTTTCCTCAGTTCCTATTCTGGAAAAACAGAAAAACAAAGGAACTGGAAAGGACTAAAAGTCTCCCCCCCCCTCTTTTTTTTAATGAAATGCAAAAAAGGGGAAGGGATTGGCTTAATTCCATGTTACTAAATTAAAATGTATTGCCAGTTTGTAAAACTAGTATCAATTTCTACGCACTACAGTACATTGCAAATCAAAGTTTAACTTTTCTGCCAGTTATTCTGTCTCAGAAAGCAAATGACCTGCAAACAAGTGTCACCAGAATTGCTTTGGAAACATGATCACGTTGTAGAAAGACACATCAGAAATTCAACAGCACACAATGCCACCGAAAACCTTTTCTGGGGATCTGAAAATGAAATGTCTTTTGGACGTATTCGTTGGGCATCAAGTGTTCGGAAAAGAGGCGGTTCCGACGTGACGACGTTCTGCTCTGCCTTCAACGCGGGTCAGCGTGGCCAAGTGCGCCGAGTCCTTCACTCCGGGGACGCGCATACAAACGGCAGAAACGGCCAAACGCGATGGCAAAAGCGTCAGGGCGGCTGCCTGTTCCCTCGCCGTTAGCCTCCGCGAGCAGCCCGCTAAGTTCTCGCCTGGTGGGAAGCCGGAGCTCCAGCCTCCTGCAAACCATCGCCCGGCTCCGCCTCCTCTTCTCCCAACACCCGTTTCAACCACCGGTCCGCGCCGGTCTCCTGCCTAAAGAAGCACCAGACGACCAGAACCGTGAGGGAGAGGCTGAAGGGCAACACCCTCCACCAGTGCCGTTGCTGCTCCTTTCCCAGGGAATGTTGCACCGTCCAGCGGGACGGGTGGGCTCTGCTGGAGGAGAAGTGAATGGGACGGTGAGGGTCGTCCTCTTCCTCGGCCGCGGGCGGGGCCTGAGCCCGGCCACCGAGAGGCGGCTGGTTTCGGGAAGCCCAGCGCACGAACCTAAGCGCCCGGACGGCCCTGGAAGAGAGACAGCTGTGAGCGCACCCGCCAGTGGCTCCCGCCCTCGGCCCCTCCGAGAAGCCGCACAGCTCACCCGGCGGCCTGCACACACAAGACGCCGCACATCGCGACTAGGACTCCACATTCGGCGCCGGGGCGCGGCCTGTTTGCGTCACTTCCGATGCGCGAAACCGGAAGCCGGACGCCGCTCGAGGCCTCCGTTCACGACTACAGAACGTGGGACCACTCGCGCGACGGAAATGACGCGCACTCTCAGGCGGTCTCTTCCGTCGCAACCAGCCACCCTCGGCAGACCGCCAGGGCATGCCGGGAAGTGTAGTTCGCTCCCAGCCCGAAGAGGAAGGAGCAGGGAGGAACCTGGGTGCAGGGTCCGGCTGGAGCGAGATCGTTGCCCTGGCCCCCACGCACCTCGCACCCTTCCCGCGGTGCAGGCGCAACCCCGGGACCCGTGCGGCTGTGTGACCGCAGGCCTTCGCCCACGTCCTGGCGGTCTGCGTTACTCCGTGCAGCGCACCCAGAGCGGCGTCTAGCCCCAGACCGCTTTGCGGGGTGGTGTTTCGGCGCAGTGCTCGGCCTCTGGGCTGCGGTCCGTCAGCCGGTGCCGCAGGGCACGCGCACGGCGCTCCCTGCGCGGCCGGCCTGCTCGCCCGGGGCCCGCGGAACACGTGCTTGCGTGCGCGGGGCCCAGCGCACTGCCTCCTGGGGCACCTTCCCGCCCGCCTTCCCGAGTCAGGTCGGGGGGTGTCTGTCGGGCTGTTCCGGGGTTCTGTGCTCCGCCCGGTAGGGAAGCTCCTGGAGCTTTTGTCCACAGGACAGACTGGCCTTGGTGTGGCTGATCTTTCCTGTCAGAGGACCACGCAGGGCGTCCAGGCATCATCACAGACGTTGTGGGGATGTGTGTGTGTGTGTGTGTGTGTGTGTAGGGGGGTAACTGGTGACAAAATCAGATCACGAGGCCACCTTGTGAACTGTGATGTGCTGCCTCCCTAATTCAGCATCTTTGCCTTTGGAGCGCCCCTCTCCTGCACCTGCTTCCTGGAGAAACACCAGACCGGTTCTGTGACTCGCCCCCACCCCCGCCCCGCCAGGGACTCTCCAGACAGTAGGGCGAGGGTGGCAGGCTGGAGATGTTCCCAGCGCAACAACATCTGGGAGTCCCCCGACCTTGGGAAGCCAGTCCCTGATGCCCTGGGCTCAGCTCCCAGCCCAGGACTGTGTTCAGAGCTACTGTGTCAACAGAGGCACCTGTGTGTCCGGGTCCTCCTCGCTGCGCCCCACCCCACCTGTTCCACCCTGTCGATGCAAATGTACCAGCGAGAACGCTCGAATATAAAAAGAAAGAGTTTTATTCAAACCCGAGTTAGGAGAGCTGCCCAGGAAACATATTCACTGGGAAGAAAGAGTTCTGGAGAATGAACTGTTTTTACAGAGTTATATACTTTTTTACGTCTTGTAAAAGCTCAGATTATAGATTAGTGTATAAGCAAGAATTATGAATTTTAACTTCGAGGAATGCAGGAAGCAGGAGTGTGGATGATATCTCAAAAGACAAGAGGGTTTTCCCTTAGGCAACTCATTCACAAAGCAGATGTAACAATGCGTGTGTGGCGTGTGTGGCGGGCCTTAAGTCAGGCTTTGGGTTTAAACAAAGTTTATGTGAAGTCATCCGATACAGAAATCTAAAATGGCTTTCCTTGTATATCAGACCTTTAGAGAGTTTTC